AAAACAGTGGCTTTGTTTTGTCAACGTTAGCTAAATTTCTACGTGTTTTTTTTTGTAGTCAATGTAGTCATCGTCATCACATGAAATGGTTGTCGGACTGTTGTTTTTTTGCCAATGTACTGAAGAACACTCGAAAACTATAACGGACACACATGCAAACACATTATATGACAAAAGAAAATGAGAAAAGGGTCAATATTCATTGGGTTGTATTGAATGCGATGCTTGAAACTGTAAGCTTTTGACAAGGATGTGAAGTGTTTGATGCACACTTTGAGCGAAAAAAAAGGTGCACACAATGGCAAACACATACACATACACACTCACTCACAAAAAGTGTGTGTATCCACTTATGATCATAATAGGGCAATCACTTTTGTGTATGCTTTTTCATGTGAGTGTGTTTGAGCTGGAAGGAGGTGGGAAGTTTGTCGACAATAAAAGGCCATTTTAAACAAAGAAAATTGACAAATAATAATACGAAATAGTTGAATGGGTCAAATATTGGGCGAAAAGTTCACATTTGCCAAACGCAATTTGTCTTCTTTTTTCTCTGTTACTTTCGTCTCTACCTTTCCTTCTTCTTCTTTTTCTAACTCTCGTCAACTCGTTCGAGAATGCCTTTGTTTGATGTATTTAAACATGCTATCGTTATCAAGCACAGGAGCACCAACCTTTTGATTGAATGGCCACCGGTACAGTCTTCGAACACATCATAAATCAAATCATTACATTTTGGCTGCTGCATCAAAGCATCAAAACAAATCATGTCAACATTGGCATTCGGTCGTGTTTTTTTATTCGTCTCTTGTTCCCCTTGAAAGCCATCACTTTCAATCATAATTCCGACTTTTTGTTAGCTGCTCTTCGAAACACTGTTGCTTCTATAACGCTTGCATCGAATGGACCGTTCTTTCTTATACGACCCGTCTGATTGAACATTCTGTTGACTTATAGATTTTTTTCTTCTTCTTTGCCTTCTTCTCTAAATTAAAATTGAATAAAGACAAAGTCGACTAAAGGAAAAAGAAACAAGCTATTTGAGGAATTTCAAATAAGAACTTTAGTACTCTAACGTAAAAACGACAAAGAGAATGGAATTACTCGTGAAAAAAAAACACACAAACGAGCATAAAAACACATTATATTCATAATTTATGTGACAATCAACGAACTTAAAACGGTCTGCATGAGTTAGCAAATATTTTAGTTTCGATAAAGTTCTCCGAATAAACGAGATGTGATTGGGGGTTGCCATCGAAACCGGTAATGAATGATTGGGCAGAGATTTGAGCGCTGTTATGTGTGTGTATATAATGGTAAGGCTTTTACAAATAAACAAACCAAACGATTGCTCATCCATGAAAATGGATCGGTTTCAGAGAGCGAGAGCGAGAGCGAGAGCGAGAGCGAGAGCGAGAGCGAGAGCGAGAGCATTTTACAGCTGTTTTCGCCAACCATTTCCAATGGACTCGATATATTATTAATGCAACAAAAATAAATGGGTATTTATCTAGTTTCAACGCTAATAAAACCGAATCGATGGACCAATGCTGCGGCCTGTTTCTGGCGTGTATCAATGGCATATCATAAATATTGAAATAATCGTCACTAACTTTCACCAGTGAAGCTAACCAGCTCGATGAGGTAACTTTGAATGATGGTTTTTCGGATACGGATAAAATAGAATGGAATTCTTTATTTTACTTTTTGCTCGTCATTTCCTGATAATTCTTGTGAAATTATTATAGATTTAGTTTTTGAATGCATTTTTCATGCTCTTGATTTGATCTAAAGTTTTAGCATATCAAATGAACTTACTTACCAGGACTATTGGTATTAGTTTTAAGTGTATGTGTGTTGTGCTGACTGAATAATTTCAACGAAAGAATCGAATCGATTGGAGGCTAGGAATGAGACGCTGATTTGCCGTGTTCATCGATTGGTGCATAAAAAGGATTATTTGGCTAATCGATGTGTAATACCATATTGTAATGATCGCCAACTGACGCACGACTTTCAATCGCACAAGTGTTCATCACATTGTGCATCCATGTAAAATATACATTTGAACATGATAGCTTCTCCATTTATTGCATCATTTCGCTTTTATTACTTGCTTTACTCGGTAAGAAGCTGCTATCCTTTCAACACATTGAAAGAGAAACATAACGAGAATGTCGTTTTTTTTGTGTGGAATACAAGAAAATAACCATTTCATTTGAATCTAAAGAAGCGAACATCTCAAACAACAAATGTCAGGGGAAAAAAGTTGCATCCAAAAATAGCAAAAAAAAAAAAAAAACTGCGGGCGGTGTTTTTGTTTGCTTGGTTGGAAATTATTAGCAAATATTTGGTATTGAATGCGGTTTGTGGCCAGTGTGGGTGCGATGGAAAATATGAAATCATACAATGAAACATTGGGACGGGCACAAAAACTGGATAGGAAATCCGGTCTTTTCATCCTTTGTTCTATCCCTTTGCTATTCTTTTTTGTGGCCACCATATGCCACATTCTGCTAATGATCTCCATTTTGGTATTGAAAATACCCTCACAATAAAAACGACGCACCGAGAAGAAAAAAGAAATGAATAGAAGAAGAGAGAACAAAAAACGAGCCAAAACGTCAACAACATTTGGATAAAAATAAATACACGAAAATGTATGTCATCTCTCATTCACCGTTATTGAATAAAATCCAATGTTGAAGCGTGATGTGAAAGAGTAACGGAAAGGAAGATAGATACAAAAAGAGACATGGCGTTACATATACACACACACAGGGACAGAGGAAGAGAGAATATGAGCGTGCGGCATGCACGCAAGTGTGCAAATTAAATGTTTTTCCTTTGCTATCATTTCGTTAGTTTGTTGATTTTTCGCAGAGATTTGCGATGATTCTGTCAAGCATATTTTAAATATGAGATGGATTCACCACAATTCAAGAAAAACCCGTCCACCGTACGAAAGCAAAACAAACATTCGCTAGCGAATGAACGAGTGAGCAGAATAGAGAGAGAGAAAGCACAAAAAATGTATACATGAAATCAAATGACTGAATTCACATTTGTTTTCAAAGTTAAGTAGCTTTTTATATCCGATAAAACCAGTGCGTTGAGCCGGGTGAATATAACGATACGTAAACATCCCTTTCTAATAAATGCCCTAATAAAAAGAGATGTTAAAAAACATGGTCCCATAACAATGGCAACTCACTCACTCACTCACTCGGTTTCATTCAATGGAACACCAATATCTTTAAACTACCACTTGATGCCACACATATGCTGAACCACAGAAGCACACCATGTCCAAATGCTGAATGTGTTTGTGTGTCGGCTGGTCGAAATTATAAATTGCTGGTATCAAAGCGAATGACCGAAAATGACCACAAAACGATCTCTCAAAAAGGACTCTTTCACAATGACTTGAGGCACAGTCACACACACACACAAGTTCTGTAACCCACATGCAAATTAATCGCTTGCCATAATTTTAACAATCCAAATACTAACAAAAAAATTTAAATCAAATTTATTCCATTTTCTCACTCTATTTGATGATCAAACGTACAAACGTGATGAAAATCATTTCCGTAATGTTCATACATAACGCTTTTCACTCTTTTGGCAAATGTGTCAAATGAATTTTACGTATTCAACGAATCCATTGTTTGAGCAAGTGACAGATAACATTGACAGAGCGAACGAGTTGATGAGGAAATTATTTAGCGAAAATTATGTCGATGCAATTTAAAATGCATGCATTTTCTATCGCAGTGCTGTGGGGAATTTGAGGTGAAGAATACCCTCACGGGAGAAAGAGAAAGAGACAGAGAGAGAGAGAGAGGAAATGCAATAAAACTATCGAAATTGGCTCATTTCCAGAAAACAGCTATGAACTAAGTAACAGCCTTTGTGGCAAATGCCATAATGTGCATCACATTAACACAGGTAGTAGTTGTTTCGACCAACATCCGCCTCCCAGCACACACATTGTTATTTCGGCTTTTATTTGCTAACTGATAACTTTTCCATTGTTGGCCAGTTGGCTTGTGAAATTAAAAGAAAAAAAAAATCATATGAAATAATTCGTTTCCAGCGAGGAACGATGAGCACGAAAACTCGTACTCGAGAAGCCCATTTTTTGAATTACTTCTGCCGTTTTCGCTTCGATTCTTTTTCTCGTCTCTATTTCGTTTCGCTTAAACAAATTACGTGTATTTCTGTTTCACTTGTCTCGAAGCCTTCAATTGCAACATATCAAATATAAAATTGGCTTACACAATTTCCAAACGTTTTTTTTTCTCCCTTTACTTTGGTCCTTCCGAAGCAACCGTTTTCCCATCTCTCTGTCAATTTCACTCTTTTGCCTTCTTGGATGAAGACAGGCATGCGTTGCCAAATAATCGAAGAACAATTTTTGATGAATACATTTTCACGGACCAGACACATTTTCAGAACACACACACACACACACACACACACACACAAACATAATATTCCACGCACATCGAACAACATTTTAGTTGATTCAGGGCCAGGCTTTATTTATCCCAGCAAGAGTTAGCATGTGCGTGTATGTGTTGTCAAGCTGTTAGGTTTACAACATTCATTTAAATATGTATGCGATATATTTTCCGCTATGAAAATGTGTTTATCAGAAGATAAAATAATTCATTTTTTTTTCGCTCCACTCTTTCGTGCCCGACATTTGGCAAAATGTATATTGATGTGGGCCCAATAAAACCTGACTGCCTGCAATTCAGGCAGACAACACAAAATCGATAAAGCAACCCAAAATCCAATCATATGAAATATTCATGTGGCTGATGCCTTCGGCTCGGCTCCTTTTTTCTAACGCAGTAACCGTCTTTGCTCTCGCACACACATTTTCGCAATTGCATCCTAGCTTCAATTGTTTTCCAAAACACACGATTTCGAATCGAATTTACTTTATCAACGATTTATTTTCTTTTGATATATCCATTTCCACTTACCTATTTAAAAAGAAAAAAAAAACGGTTTGCCTATGCCGGCTCAAAGTATATTCTTCAGTTTTTCGAATCTGGAATGAAAAAAAAAAAAAAGATTTTAATTATTCAGCCCGACGACTACGTTGGATAGGCAACCTCTTAACTATTTACAGAGATTTTTTTTCAATTAGAAGTTTCACAAAGTGAAATTTTAAACAACAAATCATTCCAATGAAACAACGAAAAACAATTATAGTTCAAACGGTATATCTGTACCGTAGTTTTTTTTTTATTGAGATGTATCGCTACGAACTCATTATAATTATTTTGTCAATACTGGTTCGATGCTATTTCACGCAATATCCATTACACAAACGAATCTCTATCCACCAGCTACTCCAATTAATTCAGTATTTAGATCGGAACATAATTAAAATTAGTGACTTTATCAAAGATATACCGCACAAATAACAGTTTATCACATTGATTCTCGAACGAAATTCGGCGCCCGAATCCAATTGTAACATTATACCATGGACGTAGGGAAATTCATCAAAATTTTCCGATCATTTGAACTAATTCACTGTGTCAATCCGTCGACATTTTCTAGCGATGCTTTCGATTCAAACACATTCGCATCGGCTGAGCACATAATTGTCTCTTTTTTTGCTTTTCTTTTTTTTTTTTCGTCCAATTACTTGTGTTCATGTTAGTAAAAATGTGTATACAGAAGTGTTTGTACTGGAGCGCAACATGAAATTTGTTTCTTAAAAACTTAAAATGAATCTTCGTCCAAACAGAAACGTACCATTAAAAATATGAATTTTGAATCAAGTTTTTGTTTTTTTGTTTTTCGCGCAAATGATAAGATTTAAAAAAGTACTTAATCTCTATTTTGTAAAATTGCCAGTGAATTTGTCTCACAGCCAGAGGATGCAAATTAACGCCTAAATACGACACTGCAACACTATTTTTAGAAATAGTTCCATTTGTGTTATTTCACGTTCTTCGCCTTTTGTGAGAATGAACAGATTGCACTTAAACTAGGCAAAATGCATGTGCCATACCAATTTTCAAACGGTTGAACTTTAACAAATGCCAATTGCTCTCTCTCTCTCTCTCTCTCTCTCCTTCCCTCTATCTGTGTGTGTTTTGGTTTTGTTGGTTGTTTAGTTGATGTTTACTTAGCGTATTTCGTGCGCAACAGTTATATATTTTCCGAAACCGAAAAATAGTCTCGTGTCTAGACACATCGAACTATACGACTGTCAAATGAGAGCAGAAATAGGAACAAATCGAACAAAAATATTCAACAACAAGCGGAGAAAAACCATATTTAAAATAATAACGAGGTTTCTCTCTCTCTCTCTCTCTCTCTCACTCTCAATTTCTCTATTTCTCTTTGCCCGCACAGTAGCGTTCTGTTTGTGAATAAAACGAAGAGACGCGATGTGAGAGAGACAGAGAGCAAGACAACTTGAATAAAAGAACAACAGAAGGTGAACAATCGAAATAAATTCGTACGTAAATATTGGCAGCACACGGAACACGCATATGTATGCGACATCTTTTAACCGTATTTTTGATATTGCGGTGCCATTTGGCAATTTGTAAACATCATTTAACTGCCGCTACCATTTATTTATATATATAAAAAAAATAGAGACAGCAGTAGCAACTCAACGAAACAGCACACAACATTTTCCTTTGCTCCTTTTCACGAGGCGAATTTTTGCTGGGAGAAACACCGTGTTTTGTATGCAAATATCTACATGGTTTAAGTGAGTTTTAATTGAATACTCATAGATTTTGTGGGAAATCATAATTGTTTTCGCGGAAAGACAAAGGGAACTGAATGCATATAAACAATGAAATTGAATAACATAACAGAAATCTGGAATAATTCATACTGGTATCAATTTTTTTTGGCTGAAAATATGTCAAATTTCAATTTATATCGAATTCCGCAATTTCACATTTAGAAAACAAGACTATTTTCAACAATATCCTGAGCAAAAATATTGGTTATGTACAACAATCCAATGGGGTTCAAATTCAATTGAAAGTGAAAAACCACAGAAAGTCGATTTTTTAGGGAAATTACAGGTTTGCAAATTCCTTGCATGACTCATACAAACCGACCGACTCAACCGACTTGGCAAAAATATTTGTGTGATTTATCTCGTTCTATCAATTTGACTTCCCTTTGGATTCGGCCAATGTGAAATTCATGGGAGCAAAAGCGATGAGATCGAGTCAAATATGTAATGCGAAAAACTAATTGGATGTGTTTGTGTGTGTTTTCGTTCGCTCTGTTCTCTTCCACTCCCAATGTGACTGTGAATTTCGGAAAATAAATGGCAGTGCGTGAGTTGAAACAAAGTTGCTATTAATTATATTTCGAATTTGCTGTCATTTCCAACTCGGTTCCATTTGTTGAGTTGAGGTTGGTTTTTGCTTCATTGGAAAAGTTCTGGATCGTCTTTGCCACTTTTCAGCTCTTCGCCGCGTTGGCTTTTCAAGGTGCTAGCACCAATGAGCTAGCAGTTGTTGAAATGAGTTTTGGCTGGAGCTTCTGTTGTTATTTTATTTCAATTTTCTGCTTCTACTGCTCTGAAAATCGCCTGAATCATCAGGGCCATGTCATGCGGCCGACCAGTGTCGAAGTGAACTTTTTCTATTTCATCAGTTACAGCACGCATTTTCTTGACATTAGTTGTGTGTGTGTGTGTGTGTGTGTGTGTGTGTGTGTGGTGCAAGTTTTCAGCCGCCCCATCAATTGCGATCAAAATAAATTGTGATGCACTTTCTCTTCACCAGGACTACCATCACCACTATCAGCAACAGCAGCAGCAGCAGCAGCAGTAGCATTGAGAAAAACCTTTTTCGCAATTAAAAGTAAAAACGTAAAACTTTGCGTAAATTGCCGTTGTTGTTTTGTTTCTGCGTGTGCAATTGTATTTCCTCAGCACTTCAACATCGTGGCAAAACTTTGAGCATCTACTCTTTCAGCAGCACAACTTTGATTTGTAAAACTTGCTTGATATTCAAGCACACGTTTTCAATTGAATTTCTCTTGGTTTCAAAATAAATTTGCATTGAGCGCCCGGTGTTCGCGTTAAATTTCTACGGCGAAAACATCGCGTCTCACAAAATCGGTGACTAAAACATCAATACTCGCCAGGAATAGTGTTCGTTTTTGTTTTGTTTTTTATACAAGGCTTTGGACTTAAGCCGGTGAAACAGATTTCAGTGAAGAAAATGAAGATGAAATTTTGTATTTTCAAACATTCTGAATCAGTGAGACGGAGAGGGCAAATGACCTGAATTCCAAATGAGTATCGTTGTCAAAGGATAAAAATCGATATGATGATCGCTGTAATAAATTGGAAGTTTTTCCGTTTCAACAAAAATTGATATAAAACGAAAGCAAGCTAACGAAGGTATTTGAACTTCGTAGTTGTCGTATATGAATTCAGAATCATATAAATTAAATTGTCTTTCGTTTCTTTGTATCATTCCGTTGGATTAATTAAATGGCACTGCTACATTGTTCGTGTCATAGACGAAGTTAACTAACACAAATGTTGAGTTATTTCCACGGAGTTTTTCGCCTTTTAATAGTGTGACATAATTGTCATTGCCTCGAGTGATGTTTCAATGAGCAGAAGTAATAAAACTTCATTGCGCGAGTGAGTGACTCTGACTCGTTAGAGATGAGTTCCGGTGACAGCGGTAAAAAAGACACATAGTCACCATATTTTAGATGCGAGATGAATGCATGAGTGCATTTGTGCGGGGCAAAGCGAGGAAAAGAAATTGTTGAAATGAAAATAGAAAACAAAATAAGTCTTTTTTTTTGTAGAGTCTATTCAGCGGAAAATCGATTCGGGCTACTGTTTTGTTCATTAATATGCTTTGAGTTAAATAAAAATGTGCTAAACATTTCTTTTGTACGCTTTTTCCCCCTCCTATTCGCAGTGAAAAGGTTGTGTTGGACAAAGAGGAGAAAAGACGTTGTATCGACACACATTGCACATTCTTTTTCTCTGTCCCCACAAGCCGCACGGAAGAGAGCAGAAGAAATCCTTTTATTTTGTGTTCGCATTTCAGTCTTCTTATCATTAATTTTCTCTGGGTTTTATTTAGCGGTTCATTTTACGTGGCATAACCAAATGAAGTGCAATGTGAACAAAGCGGGCAAAAATGTCGGAAAGCGAACGAGTGGCAGAAAATGGAGCTGGTCGTCGTTTTTGAATGTTTCAATGTTCAGTTGGTGTACGGTGGCTCCTGCATTTCAAATAGAAAATTCCACATTGATCTTGGTCTGTCTGAACATACAGGATGGTTCATAATTGCAGAACGGCCCCTTAGAAAAAGGTTTTTTTTTACACTTTTTGTACTCTACTACGTAGAGCTAAATATTCTGCGGTATGGAAATTAGCATGGAATTATGAATCACCCTGTACTGTTGGGCATTCTTCACTTTGGATTTCTTAACACAATTCTTTCAACTCATTCTCTACCCCATTTTCTCTCTCCCAGTGTATGTTGTGTGTGTGCTTCGTCTTCGTGAAGTTCCGAGTTTTACATATTTATTCAAACTTTTTATTCATGATTTTCTTTTAAGCGAGCTTTTTTTGCTTCTCTTTCTCTCTTTCTCTTGGTCTCTGTTGTATCCTCACTTTCAGCAACAATTTGTGTTGCTTTTTTGTAAATTCGTATCGTTTGTGCTTTTTTCGGCACATTTTCCTGCTCGCCGTTTGCCTTTTCTTATGCACATTTTGTCTCTCTATCCCTCTCTCATACATTGTTTGCTGCATTACATTCCAAGTACGCGAAATAAATGCATTTTGTTATTCATTCCATTCGCGTGCGATGATTTTTCCTTTCTCTCTTCCTTTCTGAGCACAGCTTCACCGACCGTAAGGATGTTGTCTTTTCTTGAGATGCATTTGAATTCTTTGCTCTTTCTTGTATCTTTTGCCAGAGTTATTTGTGTTGCTATTGCACATCATCCAAGTTTCATGCGCACGATATCGCTTTTGCATATCGTGTGTTCCGGCCTGCAAAAGATAGAGAAAAAGGCAAA